TGCGAATGAGTGCATGGGTAATGTGGTATAGTGACATTCAGAAAAGTATCTGGTGCTTTTTTTCTGCAGTTCTTCTACAGCAGCCGTTGGATTCTCAAAAATTTAATGGTCGCGAAAAAAAATTGTCTAAGTCGAGTCGAGCTCCTTTCTCAGAACTTTAAAGTTTAGGTGGGAAAGTTGCAACTCACTTCCTAAGAAAGGACCACTTGTAGTGCGTACTAATACGCGAGTGAAGTATAGATTTGTAATTGAGGGATTTGAAAGCCAAAGTTGGAGAATCTTAAGAAATAAACCTAATTAAAAAAAGTCTAAGGAGGGATGCACAATGGACCAAAACCCGAAGAATCTTCAAAAGACGTGCCAAATGACGCTACAAATCCTGTGTAGAAAATGAATGAGTCAACGATAAGAGATCTGGTAATTCGATAAGGTCAAGGCGGAAATGAATTTGGGAGTACCGTGAGAAGGAAACTGGAGGAGATAAACCACGAATATTCTTGGTTCGAGTGAATACTATTGTTCTCAGGATGAGACGTAAACCGTTTAAATGATAAGAAGCCCAAATGTCAAATACGTTTGGCGATATGTTCTTCCCTTCAATGAAAGTCTCTTTACATTAATCTGGCATGAAGCAGAATTTTGCTCATTCAGCACTCCAGGCCTAGGGTGATTCACTTTTACCATTACCTGCCAACCACAGTTAAACATCCCGTTCGTAGTCTCTGGTTGCCAATCGGTCGAGGGAAATGATGAGGTTCCCGTTAACCGAAGCGTGAACAACTTCTGGCATGTGGTTAATTCGCAACAATTCCGCAGCAATTCACGGCATTTCGGAAGGTTTAGTAAAATGTGCAGTTCGAGACGATCATGCGCTACGTCACACGAACTTGTCGTTCCACAATTTTTTCATGAGAGCCACCACATCAGCCCCCATGGCCGCCATCAGCCACCGAAAACTCTCAATTTTAGTTCCATCATATTATACTGAGATGTCTTGGACAAGAAATTCAAAGGAGAGAAGTAATTTTCATGTTATTACTTTAATTAGGCCTTCGATGATGAACCTTTCCTTGAGGTGAAACTTTTTGAAACCTATGAAACCTTTACTTCCTAGATTTTCCTTAAAAACCCCAAGCAATCCAAACTCATCGGAAATCAAACATTCTGGGTCATGGGTAAACTATACTAACCTGAATATTTAATTTAGGAGGAGATCTAGTTCCTCGGAGTGATGAGTCATCGCATTTCCCAGTATATTTTGACATTGAATGAGTCATTTTGGTATAAGGGATTCATTGGCAAATTCCAGTTGGTCATTGGAACTTGTTTTCGATGTTCTCAGAATATGAAATCGATTTGCAGCAATCAGGAGTTTCTCCACGATTTCAAGAGTCTCCAAATCACTACCAGTGATGACTATGGACAATATTTTAGGGTTTGCTGAATTACGAAACAAAATTATCCATATATTTTGTTTGTTCAGGAAGAAAAGAAAGGGTTTCATACTATGGTTATATATAGGGTAAGTGCTGCGAATGTCGGCACTGGGGGTAATCTCGGCACTTTGCGATCGTAAGCCTTCTACTTCTACTACCCGTTCCTGTAGGAAAGGGTAGAAATAAATTTTCAGATGGTGGAACTAATGTTGTTCATATGTGCTGGGAAGAGTCATATTTGCTGTTGTAGTTTTCTCGCAGTGGCTGCCTTCTCTATGGGCACTCCGAAAATCCTGCAAATCCTTGTGGTTTTGCTAAGCTCATCATGCTATTCCTACATTTAACCACATTACGTTGTTTCTAACAGTGCTACGAGTCCCAGATTTTCACAAATACTTATTCTATTGCTGAATCATTCGCGTGAACAGTCATTTCCGACTCTGGTGCATTGTTTTGGAGAAGGTAGGGTTGCTGACATTACGAACACCATAAACCCGTATGTTGGCTTTGTTGGCCCCTGCCGAGATTACCCTACCATTGACCTTACCCCAGTGTTGGGTATCTCGGCATGCTCATTTTTCTATGGCGTTTGTATCACATCATTATCCTTTCTTTTCTCTAGGTTTTGAATCCACTTCTATCTGAACCTAATGGATCGTGTAAAGCTCTTGACGTATTCTACTCCTAGAATGGAGAAAGCGATTGACGCAGTTAGGACAACTGGTATGAAAATCAAAACATCAGCCAGAAAATATCACGTTCCGAGGTCAACGTTGCAGGACAAGTTAAGTGGTCGAAGCAGGGAGGGGGCTAGGATTGGCCACTCCACAGTGTTGAGTACGAAGGAAGAAAAGTAGCTTGAGGCATGGGTTCAATATATGCACAAACGCACATTTCACGCACGAAAAGATCAAATCCTTGATTCTGTCCAAACCTATTTCGGCGAGAATGAACGGGAAAATCCTTTCAAGGAAAATCGTCCCGGAAGGGATTGGTTTAGGCGGTTCCTCAAGCGCCATCCAAAAATTGTGCTCCGCACAGCCGAAGCTTTGTCCAAAAGCCGGGCCAGAGTCATAAAAGTCATCATCGCCTGGGTTGTCGAAATCCGCGAAGTTCTCGCTGAAGAGGAACTGCTGGAACTTCTTGACGATGCCTCCCGACTATTCAACATGGACGAATCTGGATTTCTCTTGTGCCCAAAAACCCACAAGGTTTTGGGTCCGAAGGGAGCCAGAGACATATATCAGATCGTGCCTGATAACGACAATTGACCAATTGACGGTACTGGTGACAGCGTCAGCGGATGGAGAAGTATATCCCCTTATGATTGTGTTTCCACACACGCGAATTTCAAAGGACTGGCAGCCAGTGTTCCTGGTGATTGGGGAATAGGTAGAAGCGACAGTGTATGGATGAGATCTGAAAGTTTCTACGAATACATCGTGAATGTGTTCCACCCGGCTTTGCTGACAAAGAAAATCAAGCTTCCTGTCATTGTTTTCTTGGATGGCCACGGCAGGCATCTCACTCTCCAACTCAGCTATTTCTGCAAGCAGAGAGGAATTGAAATGGTCGCGCTGTACCAAAACCTCACTCACATATTGCAGCCACTGGATATTTCTTTATTCAGGCCATTGAAGATTTCTTGGAAGAAAATCGTTCTGGATTGGCAGAAGGATCACCCGAACTGCTCGCTGTCCAAGATGGACTTTGCTAGTTGTTTCCAACAGGCACTGAACTGTGTCAAACCGGATACCATCAGAAACGGATTTCGCCGCTCTGGGGTCTTCCCTTTCGACGAGGACGCAGTTGATTATTCCAAGTGCTGTTAGGAGCGTCAGACCACGCCATCGAAGCAATGGGGAAATCAGCAGGAAAGTGGAAACCCTACCAACTGTTCTTACGAAAGAGAAGTTTTTGGAACGCGTTGGAGATGTGAGCCATTTACAACAGCAGCCAGATAGCGAGTCTAGCCTGGCGTTGCAGAGAATTGCCCAGTTCTTCAGAGTCTCCGATGCTCCTGATACCCACGAATTACGAACAGCCATTACGGAGCGCATGCCATCGGTAAATGGATTACAGGTGTTCAGCACGCCTAGCCCAAAGCCAAAATGCAAGAGGTTTGAATTCTCTGCAGTGAACAGTCCCGTACAGGCTGTAGAAATGTTGCAATCAACCTCAAAGTCTGCTCCTCAGGAAGAACCGGTTGGAGGAAGTCTCACTGAGGAACAATTGCCAGGGCTTTCAAATGCAAGTGGCACTACCCGAGCTCCAGCATCGTGGTACAAGTTGTCCACCATTCGAAAGTATTTACCTTTCCCAAAGAGTCCAATAAAGGAGAGCGTGAAACCGGTTCCAGTCTCAGATGTCCAAGAGAAGGTCCCCTTTGCTATAACAAGCAAGAAGTGGCAGAGCTTCTTCAAAGAGAAAGCCGAGAAAAAGAAACGAGAACAGCAAGTAAAGGACGAAAGGAAAAAGCGAAGGCTAGAAAATGCGAAGAAGAAGCAGAAGAGAGAAGGGGGCAAGAAGAAAGTCCAGACCAAGAAAGGAGCACTAAGCCCTGTCTCTAGCAACGAGGACGAAGAGGAGCCGCCTGTGGAAAGTGAAGAGGGGGACGTGGATGAAATTGAAGCGTGAGATGACTGGGATGTACCCCTATAAGCCTAGATTATCATTAGCATCTTCCCCAAATGAATTTGCGGGTGAGTCTAGAATTTCCAGGATAATAAAACGAATTTGCAGATTAAGTATGATTGTACTTATTAATTATTGTATTTATTTACACATTCTGATCAATCTCTTCCACACGAGATAGGGTTTTCATTAGTTAGTTTTATTCATTTTGGAGTTCATTGTAAATGACATTGATACTTAGGGGTGCCGAGATTTCCGACAGGTAGGCGCCGACAATACCAGCAAGTGTGCCGAGATTCCCAACATCCGACCCAATTCCACCTTTGACCCAAGCCCTCAGTGAGGAATAGCTCAGGGCACTCGAGGTGTATGGTACAATGAGGTATATAATAGAGGAATGACCTAGCCCAACGAGAACGAGGAAGCTCCATTACAGAATCTACCAGGCAAGGTTGAAGTGAAATTTTTCCTTAGAGTGCCGACATTCGCAACACTCACCCTATTACGGGAATGAAGGCATGCACAAGTGGTAAACGTGAGATGAGAAAAATTACATGAAGGTGGAGTCGTCACGATATGAGAGGCTATGAAAACAAATGCACTGTCGATGTCCAAGCATTGGCAAGTCATACTGCTTTCGAAGATTTTTGTAGAATATTTAACAACCTCTGTAAGCATATTACGCTTCCTTCCCATTGACTGCGTATTTCTTGTCAAATCGTTCGGAAGAAGTGAATGGCAGTAGCAGGGGCAGAAAACACGGTTTTTAATGTCAATTGTGGAACGGGGAAAAGTAAAGGAAATAAGCAAATATCAAAATCGAACATCATGAAAGGTGTTATATCTTTCGTGGTGGAACATCTAAGGAAAAGTGGTTGACATAAGTTCAATAAATGCCAAAAAAGGAAGCAAAGGAAATTCGGTCGTACCCCGATAAATAAACATTCACGAGTCATGACACGTTTTGAGATTTGTTCAGCTATTGTCTCTCCACACGATTCCTCCGTTCATTCAGTTCATCTGCAACAAAATTGAAAGATTACATTTGTTGTGTTCGTTTTGAAAGATAGGAATCCAGAAGGTGTAATTATTTGAGCCATCCAAATAGAAATGCTGGGTGTCATCTTTTAAATTCAATGGAGGAAAAAATATAGTTTAAAAAATATCAATACGAACATGATTTACAGTGGCTCATTAAAGTAATGGAACACCACACAATTCTAAAAGAAAGTCAAAATTTTCCTGCAACAAAAAAGATCAGCCCTCACTTACCAGTATATATAGATAGAGCTCAATGTGCTCTACGGTTGCATATACATTTGTCGAGTATTAGGATATTCTAAGGAGATATATAGATAACAACAAAAGATCCAGATCGGCTTTGAATTACTTTTGGCATTTTGACCACGAAGCGGTATTAGCGACAATTCGTTTATTCAGAGCATCTCAATGCATGTCATAGGCACTAGCAGATGTTCACCAACGTTTGTAGCTGCTTTCGGCCTTGATCAGGCTTTTGACTCTCTCAGGCATGGTGATAAGCTTTGTACTTTTTACTCTATCTTGAGACCATTCCAGACAGCTTGAAGTCGGTCCCAGAGATCTTCTTGACCTTTGATCGGTCCAGGCAAGCTTCACAGACGTCGATCTACTTTGTTTCAAACATGTTTAATTGGGTTTAAATCTGGTGATTGGGATGTCCAATCCAGGACAAGCATTTCGCTCTCCACGAACGGCTCCTTCGGTCTGCCCGCAGTGTGCTTGGAATCGTTATCGTGCTAGCATACGATGTCTGGCACTTGAAGATTTTAGTATCAATATATACGAATTATCTATGAATATATACGAATTACCTTCATCTTAGCATGCATTTCCGTCAACGGGTCATGGGGCTGTCTCATACTTCTAAGTAGCTGAGACATTACACTCCCCTGTCTATTCCTTCACCATTCCAAGTCACTCTGTCTCTGAACTCGTTCATTTCAGAAATGATCAAATCATACCTATAGCGACTTGTGTATGGTCTTGCATGGATTCATTAAAGGTTCATCATCTACATTCTTCCCGGTGGTCCTAACGGTGGGAAAATCTTTCATTCCGGAGTCGAGACTACGCAACGGAAAAGGGGAACACGTATGATGCGCTCAATTAAGCTGCTGGAAGTGCATTTTCTAAGGAATCTAAGAACATATTATTTCCACAGAAACTATTCACTCCAATAAACAATAAGCTACCAAATATCTCAATCTATATGTTTCTGATGATGCTATGTCTATGCTGCATAACATCACTATGGCAATGTTCGTTCGGGAATTATATGATAAAGAAAGAAGCTTCCTTTGAGTGAAGATGGCCTCCATATTTGGCAGTAGCACTTCCGTAATGATTGAAATCATGGAATTATAATGCTTAGGACTTCAACTAATTCCTCTTCTCAACAACATTAGGAGTGAGGATGAAATTACAAGGAATAAGCTATTTTTCCATATTGATATTTAGCATTTCTGACAGGAATTGCTCTTAAGACAATGACAAAAAAGCGTCGTATATAAATGAATAATCCTTCTCTGACTACACTACATCCCATGCAATCATTCATGACTACTTTTGGTAAATAATGACTATTTGCGGTTTTTAACAGTAGAACAACTTTTCTGACAGTGATTTAAGGTAGTATAACATCATGAATATTGGCATTTTTACCATCATCAGCTTCTTCCTATGCACACGAAGCTAAGTGTGAGTTCAAACCTATAAAATACATTAGCAATGGAGAAAGGAGGGAGTACCTAGACCTTTATTGTATTTATTATTAAATTATTTTAAACAGTATGACACTTTAAATATAGTTTTGACGGGAAATTTAAAATTCGTTGGGACCAGAATATCCTGATGACCCTACGGCATCGTATTTGCGGGTAATTAATGGAGGTAATGATCCCATCGGTCTCCGCCTTAAGTTATAGGTCAACCCTCAATATCGTGAAAAAGACTGTTTCAACAGGCATTCTGATCATTGAACTTGTGATATCAGCAGAAATATGGAAGAATGTAAAACAAGAATCCGAATAAATATTTCGATATTACCAGAGGTGAGGGGCGTCAACTCCGCCAATAGCCTGTCCAATGCCCATAGCAGGGGAACCATGTCTGCCTGCCAAGACACATCCACTCTTCCTCGAAATTGGATCTGCCGAAGGTTCAATGACACATCCCCTTGATACACAAAAGGCAGCTTCTCCACATCCATCCACATTTTCCTCTCTGTATTTGTGAAAGGCGAGAGAGGAAGAAGTGAGCGATTATATGAAGCTGGAAGGGGGAACCCAGTTCTTTTATCTTTCAATACATATATTGTTCAATGATATGGATTTCATCAATAGAACTCTAAAAAGCCAAACCAGTCTACTTTCTTTATCCTGGTCAATTAGTCCATTAACAATTGAGGCACACACTTTCTAATTTTCTTTCGTGAATAATGTTCCTGAATAATGTTTGGATTCGATTTCTTACTGCAAAAAATTGTTCTAAATGCCTTACCATCAAGATCGATGGCATGTCAATTGAGAAAAAATATCTGCTCGATTTCTGAGGATTCATTGCTTCTTTCGAATAGACCCCTTATACGTTTTGATAATGTCCTATTTCACCCCCACTTAAACTAATGTATAGTTCAATCTGCAGAGGACTAGGATGAGAAAGTGTGCCCTCTTCAAGAGGATAATAAAAAATCATTTTGAGAAATTTTTTCACAAAAAGTGTGAAGCGAAAATCCGCCAAAAATTTCTCGCTCTCCAATTCCAAGGAAATCGACAATCCAGAGGCTTCTTACGAGACTATGTACAACAGAATCAATGCTATACAAGCAACAAGTTCGTATGGGGCATATTTTGACTGAAGAAAAGCTGGATGACATCGGCGCTCGTCTGCTCGTCGGCCTGTCATTGTGGGGCCCGTTATAAAACAAACATCCTGTATTTATACGTTGCTTGGCGCATCGTATTTCCCGCATTTTTTAATCTGAGTTATGAAAATTGAAATGATTCTGGTGCTGAAGGGGATCTGCAAATAAAACAGCCAAATGGAATTAGAGGGATTCAAAAGAAAGGAAGAGTTTCCGTAGGAGGGGCTTCTTTCGTTCTAGCATGGTCCCATTGAGTGTCAAATACAGACAAACAGAACCCAACTTTTGGATAACTTTCGTGCAAAAAAAAATTGTATTGGATCGAGGATTGAATTCCGTTCGGGAACGGTGTGAATGCAATAGAGTTCAGGGCTGCCGGACATGGAATGGGAATTTTTCAAGTGTTCTCTCTCTTTATGGAAAGCGATTCAATTTTGTTTTAGATATGCAAGAGGGTACATTATCTTTGGTAATTATTTATTAAGTTGGGCACATTTAGGCCCCAATTTTACACTGTGCATTCAAAGCAATAACAAAAATTCCTATCCTGGATGTTGTGAAGTTATGGGTTCAGTAAGGGTTATATGAAGGGCTGGTTCTGATATGAGGGAACATTCGTCAGCATAGAACAACTTGTATCCGAAGCGTCGATCTACCTGTAGTATTGTAAAGAAAGAAGGCAGAGTATGGTTTACTTGCAAGTGGCACAACGGGAAGAACGTTGATTGCTGTAGTGGACTCCCAGGAGAAAATAAGGATTCCACTCGGCTCCACATCTTCTTCTTCCGTTTTTGTTCTCCCTTTGCCCTTTTCAGGGAGGAAAGCGCCTGGAAAACATTATTCCCAAAATGTTTGTATCACCTAATGTTGCATTCTATTCGTTATGGAGCCAAATGGCCTGAGTTTTTCGTTGTAAGATCTGCAGATTCAGAAAACCAACAAATCCCTGTATCCCAGTGGTGCCCAACCCGTGGCCAGGGGCAAAAAGTGGCCCTCGAGCCACTTTAAAGTAGCCCGCAACGCCCTAACAAACAATACATACCCCTATGTTTATAAAAAATAGTCTCCTACAATGCTAGTGACTGGCCCGCGATGGCTGTGGGAGTGAGCTATGTGACCCCCTGGCCGTAAAGGTTGGGCACCACTGCTTTATGCTGTAGTGTTTTTGTCGGAATGAGTGCACATGTTCTTCTAAAATAGTCATTACCCGTTTACTTGATTTTCGACTCCTAATTTGGTGAACACGTTCTCTGTCATATTCAAGACAATATACTTATCGTGTCCATTTGGTGGGAATGTTGAGAGACAGCACCTGTTTTGGCCCATCTTCTCATTCTGGAGTACATCATTAAACTGACATTCTTTTTGAGTTGGGACAACTTGAGCGACAATTAAATGGAAAGGAGTGGCCAGATTCTTCCCTTCGCCGTTTGTTACGCTACATATTGTGTTATACCTTCCAGAAGAAGGGAAGGAAAACACATAACTCACGTGAGAAATTCTCTCCAATGAGAACTATATACCTCTTGCATAAATTCGCTGCTGATTGGATCAAAGAATGCAGATTTTCATGCGATTCTTCTCCCAACACCTTCTGCAATGAATAAGAGAGATGGGACATGTTTGCAAGCTTCATTGATTCTCTCTTATGTGTGAAGACTTAAAACGGCATGATCACGAGAATCAAGACAGAAGCCGAACTTAAAATTCAAACGGCGGGTTTTGTGACGGTCGATTCCTAGGCAAGAACTTCATTCGGTGCATTTACGTTTCACATACTGTAACGAAGTTTCATATGGGAGATATGATACGTTCGTGGTAGAGTTTGAGAAACCAATCCGAGGGCGGCGGTCGCTTTGGTCAATCAGGTAAACGAGGAATTGCATGCTTTTGTAATGCTTTTCTTAGAGGAATGAGATGACCTCAGTCTTCACTCTGAAGTCGGTGTGTCATAGGAGTACTTTGTAGTGTGGTATTTGGTACCTCGTGTGATGAAGCGACCCCAGTTGTCCGCCGAAAATAAAGCGTCCTGTTTGACTCTTTATAAAACTCGCAATAGATAATCTAGGGTCGTGATGACTTCGTCTCACATTGCAAACATCGCACAATTTGTATTCTTGAAAGTTTCATGTACCTAGGTTGTCTAAATAAAAGTCCTTAGCCGTTCAAAAGGGAGGAAACAAAAATTTCCGCGCATGAGGTGGATGGACTTTTAGCACTACTGGATTGATTTGTTTCCTTTGACACCATTAATGCTATTTTTATGCCACTTTTCATCGTAGTATTCTGCAGAGTAATTATTCTGATGCTCCAAAGTACAACAGTAGTACTATTCTATGACGTGTTGAATACAACGGCAGGGACATGGCTTCAGAAGCAGTCTCTTTTTCTTCATGTTAGAGAGGTAATTCAATAGTGCTGAATCTCCATCCGCCTCATGCGCGGAAAATACATTTTATTTCGGCCTCACGGTTTGGAAAATGGATATTGGCTTGGTTTCTCTGCGGTTTGGAAATGAAGAAATATGCTTATGACAGGTATTCTCCCGGCATTGTTCATGTTTTGCCGCCAACACCCTGCTAGATGCTTGAAATAAAGGGCGGAATACTAATTGAGTAATAATTAGTCACTCTCACGGCTACTCGTTCATGCAACAAACCGGCAAAGCGATTGAGCAATATAGAGAAAATAAAGAAAAATAAAAAGTTGTGACAGGCCTGAAGGAGAGAGAGATGAAGGAGAGTTCCGGTGAGCGAGAGAGACAGGGACTCCAGGAATCCTCCACTCCTTGTCTTTAGGGGAACAGGTGGATGCTCTTCGCTAACCCACTCCACACCTTTTTCTCGAAGAATCCCAAGGATTACCTTCTCATTATCTCCCCAAAGCGGTACTCCATACCCTTAAGGGAAAATGAGAAAGAAAAGGAAAATTGGGTGAATGTGGTGGAGCAATTGATAATATTACTTATTTACTTAATATCATATATATATTGCAGGAAAGGACGTTCAAAAAGTATTTGGACTTTTCCATTTCTGCCCCTTGGCCTAGTCCGACATTCTCAGCTGCTTCCAATAATGTAATGTTGCCTGACAGCCTGCGACTCAAAAAGGCTTGTGCACGTTGGGTGGCATAACTATCGACATGACAGAGGGATTGAAGGTGCAACGGGTTTAGACGAGAACAGAACTCCGGTCGAGGTCCAGGAGAGGTCGAGGTTGATATCCATTCGTCGATGGATGCTTCAGGACAGCCCTAATTTTTATTATTGCCGTTGAGAAATAGTTGCCAAGCCGGTTCGCTTAATTTTATTTTCCCTTTCTCTTCGTTCTACTCTTCTAATACTCTTGTTTTGATTTTACCACAGTCAGATGGCAAACCTGTCGATGATGTCATACATCGGTAGAGCCCTAGAATAAGCGACGTCCATTAAAAATTTCACTTTGGATTAACCTTAAGTAAAGAGGTAAAATGCCCAAGGGCAAATTTTAAAAAAGGACTCAAGCCCGCATACTAAAAGAAAGATTAGGATATAGAGAGGGGGATTAACCAATGTAGGTTACGAAATCAAGAGCGTATAAAAACAGTCCAATTTCGCGGCATGCACCTGATGAGATTGAGCCCTAACACTTAATCAGAAGAGAAAAGAAATGTTCACGTTATTTCCTCCCTATCCTTTTCCACTTCCTGCCTCCGATCCAACATGCTTTTTCCCCTTTTCATTTCTTTTATATAGGCAGTCCCAACAACTTCAGAATTTAATCATGACAGCAATTGCAAGCCCATACAAGTCACGCCGCATCTTCCTTTCCCCCGCACTGACGGACTACATTGTACAGTATTCGCCTCAATCCAATGGGACATTCCCCCTTTAAAACCTTTTGCCAATACATCGCGATGGCCGAAAAAACTATCGATGCCTCCAACCATCGATATAGCAATCGATTTATTGATCTATTGTGACAGTCCCAGTCAGAACCGGTGAATTTTCCTAAACTCCCCACTGTGGCCATATTGCACGGGTCTCATTTCAATTATTTTATACCGCTGTTATTGAATAGTCCAAAGGCTTTTTAAACGCCCTTTGTATATAGTTCATAAATGAATGTAAGTGTATGTGCATTTAGGTATTTAATTATCTATTCAAGTACATATTAATTCAGAACATATTAATAAGTAATAAATAAAGTTAATTAACATTAAGTGGTAATAAATCTGAAAGATTCTTAACTCACCACCCATCTGGACATAGCCCCAATCGTAAAATGGGGACGATGACGAGGGGATACAATCATCCAAGCCATTGAAATAATCGGGAGCAAGTTTAAGGAAGGAGCCCGTGTCTTCATCCAGGAAGTCTCCTTTGTTCACGGCCTCTTCGCCCACACGCTTTCCTATCTCGTCCCATGTTGGAACCTGCAGTAAGGTTAAAAGTTGATGATCGAAACCCCCCACCCCTTTGAGGTTACATAGCAATGATATGAAGTGCACATTGTGTGTGACCAAGAGAAAAAGTGACGGAGAGTCACTTTTATATTTGTGTCTTTAAACATATTATGTAACAAAACACTCGTTTACGCTGATATCGCGCAGCAGCACTAAAATCCATTGCTGCCTTTATTGAGACAGTTAAGATGGCTCGGTCTCCTTTGAGAATAATGCTCCTAAATTAACTATAACATGTGAAGACAAGCACATAGGAAATCACTACCTCTTTTTACTCATAAAACGTGTAATGAGATTTTATTATTCTCGCTGAAAGTAGCGCAACGTTCCTTTTATAACTTTGAAATGAATATTAAAGAGCAGTACGAAAGAGATTGACAGAGAAACTTTCCATCCGCCACAAATTCAAAATCGCCCTATTTACAACTCGCTAAACCTCAAGTTACACATTTCATTCGAAAATTCCCATTTAGGCAGTGGCGTCCGGTGATCTGTGATGCAGGTCATGCAATTGTTTCTCAATGGTGTATGCAAACAAAAGACTGACTTATACTACTTTATTTGCAGAGTCATATCGACGTGACATAAATGAAACATCATGAGTCGTGAGGAAATATGAGCTAATGAAATAAATGTAGAATGCAGTTTACACGTATGATGATAGGTAAAAGCCACATTGTTTCTAGTTCAAACTTGTCATGCAGTGCATTACTTGCATGCCCCAACTGCATGTCACTGCCATTAGGCTTTAGGCTGCGGAGAGTCTAATGGTCAATGGGATTTTTGAACAGCACTGGTATGAAAGCTCTAATCGTGAATGAATAACAAGTTGGACTGACAGACAAGGCACCTACCTTCAGAAATTTCCCATCATCGTCTAGGAGCAGAAAGGCAGATCGGTCCTGGAGGACGGGAATATCCCTTGGTTGGACGCGCCCATCCGCTAGCATGGTTCGCCAAAGGTCCTGATGCTCTTGGATGCAATCGATGATGATCAATTGAGTCTTGCTACGTGATATGACTTCTAGCAACCAGTCGTCACTGATATTTACAGTCACGATGGTAGAGTTTTCACATCCTCGAAAATCCCTTGGGTGTGTGAGTCGGATACGATTTCCATCTGACAAGGCCTCATTCAAAGACTTCAGAAGAGCTTCATCCGATACCAGGACGTGGGTTTCATCTTCGGGCGTAGTCTCTGTAACAACGGACTTTAAAAAGGACGACAGGATATGCACGGAGTTCTTTATGTATGGCCCACATGAAGTCTCTCCTTCGCACAAATATCCCCCATGGTTTCCTAAGCACTTGACATATTGGACAGGAGGTCCGAGAACGATGGCCCCGGGAGTTGCAGACGTGAAGAGACTCTTTGCTCCCAGGATTAGAGCAGAGGGGGCCTCATTTCGAGTGATATGGATCAGGAATCGTGAGTCGGTCGATGGAGAACGAAGTGTAATGGCCGTGGAATCAGGATTTTCCTTCAGTACATCAATCATTCTTTCCACAGAGATCTCCGGCGCATCTGATGAATGGAGCTTGAAGGCGAGGATCAGCTTCAAGTGTTTCGCTTTTAATTGCTGCACGGTTCGTGGAATCTCCTTCTCCAAGTCCTTTAACATTGGGCAGTCTTCGACGACCAAGACTGAGAGACACCCTTCCTCTTCTTCCACTTCGGTTTGCTTCATGCTGTCTCCATGAGGAAGGATGTCCTGGAGAGATGTAATATTCCTGGAATGGCAGTGAACCACTTCCACGTTCACTTCCCCCCTCCATTGCTCCCGGCAGAGTTCCTGGGACAAATCACTTCCGCAGTGGACAATACGGACTCGAGCGCGACCCTGTAGCACCACATTTATTGCATTATGGACTGTGAAGGACTTCCCCGTGGCTGGATAACCGAATATTCCTATAAGGGAAATTGTAAGCAACTTATCAGTGTCTTCTTCCTCCCTTCCGCCTGCCGCATCCCAAGCTGCCTCCATGACGGGGCAGGATGCACATGAGAAGATATCACTTCGAAGGACATCAATCGGTTTGCCCTCGTTTTCTTCCAAAGCTCGGTCCAATTTTTCGTTCAGATCTTGTCTGTTAAAATTCTTCTTTGTTATCTTCCACCCAGGTATTTTCTGCAGAAGTTGAGAGAATTTTCCCGTGGTCAACTCTTCTTCCTCGACCACTAAAATATTTGTGTCATCTGTGGCTGATGCCACTCTAATGTAGTTTTTCCAACGTGAATGAGGGAGATCTACCACAATTGTGATGTTCTTCAGATGACATCCTTTAAATTCGTCCTCAGTTACAACAACAACAGGCGTGAGTCCGTCAGAGGATACCCTTCCACGGAATTTGCATGCCTCATCCGTTTCACAATCTTCGATATTATTGGATTCAAACTCATGGGTTTGATCCCGAGTGGCTTTTTCGCTCGCGTCAGAGTCAAATTGGTCGCTCTCATCGGATAAGGAACTTTCAGATTCCTCGTCCGAGATGCAGGACCAGAAATCCTTGATATGCTTGGTTTTTAAATCCTCTTCAGACTTATATTCTTCTTCCTTGCCCGATTCCTTGTCTGTATCAAAATCGGATTCTGGTCTCTCATCATTGCATGGTGTATCTTGTCCATCGTCAAGGAAAATGACAGGTAGTGAGTCATACAGGGACGTGAGAATATTCACGAGAGATGCCTTTTTCTTTTTGTCATCAACAACGACGAAAATGGGTAAATTCCTGATTGGCATTGAACATTCCGTGTGGATGTGATGTATAGCAAATGAAGCCCTCATTGCAGAGCAGGTCATTTCCTCCCTGCATTTTCCAGGATGAAGGGAATAGCACGATGGGATAGGGAAGAGGACTGGCAGAGATTTTCCTCCAGGTTCGCGTAAATCCATTTCTTGCGTTCTTTCGGAGGATATGAAGATTTGGCGCGAGTAATTCCCGATGGCCAGGAATAGATCCGCGATGTTTCTCGTATTCCTTTTAACTCTTTCAAGGATATGGATTGTATGACCGCCTGGCCTGACATCAAGCAGTGAGAAATCCCGTGAGTACGATTGATCATTCGGTCTAAAGGAAATGGTGATGGATTGCAAAGGATTCTTTATGAATTTCGGAATCCACCTCCAGTGGTCAGAAAGTGCCTCGGCGGTGATGATACCTTGGAATCCCAGTGTAACTGGGACCTCATCAATGAGTATGTGTTTCCCTGATCCGTCCCTCTTCAGAAAACTCTTGAGTCTTTCCATGTTCTCCTCCATGCCCTCCTCTCTTCCATCAACTACTCGGATTCCCTCTTTTCCTATCAGGGCAGATGCAAGCTGTTCAATTCACCCACCTCTGACCTAGCCATATACATATTTTACATTCGCTGTTCAGTGCTGCTGATTTCACGCCAAAGCGTAACGAAGCGCGTCGAGAAGAGCATTCATTACTAGCCACGAACAGAATAGGAAAACCGACATACAGTGTTTGAAAGCCATTGATTATCTAAAATGATACATTTCAAGAATGGGAATGCGGAGTAGGTACCTTTTACTGCGACCAGTTCCGTTAATTGTTTTAGAGAAAATTAATGTATTGAATCATAGTGATGGATAATATATACTAGGGAGTTTGTTTGCCCTTTTGGTAAACAAACTCGCTATAGTCGCGCCTTCGGCGCTTCATTATTCCGATGATTTCTCGTGTGCCTAACTCCAGATTTTTTTACGTGCCCCTTTTTGTCAGAGCAAACGATAGTTCTGGAAAAACTTCCCACTCGTAATTTGCATTGAGGAGATATACTTAAAATTATGATTTTTCTGCACTCAACATTTGAACAAGTACTTCTGAGTCAAGTCTCAACTCTATATTGCTCTCCCTTACATTGGATTGAAATTGATCCTGGAAAATGCGGCACCATCTGCCTGCCTCGGGTGTATGTCTCCCTCCCTGTGGCTCTCACTCTTTTCCGGCCTTGCGACTGTCGCATCCATTCTCGAGAACATTAGGGCCCGAGGGGGTGGGGGAAGAGTACGAATGGCATAAGAGGTCGAAAAAATGAACTGGGAATCGAACCATAGCCCTCCTGATAACCAATTCAACGTGTTAGCAGAACACCATGGAACCCAAGTCTTTAGTAGTACGTTCCATGTCATCCCTCCCACCACAACGGGAGATAGAGGCATGCTACGAGCACTCCCCCCTTACTTAGGGGGGTTATTTACACTTCCGATAAGGACTTTTCCGCAGGGACGTGTAAAACGTCCCTGCAAAGTATTCGGGTTGTTGGGCGATAACATCGGAATGGGAACCGTAGAAAAAGGGTGATAACCTCAGCTTCCCGCACTAACACTGCCAGTGGCGGGCATTACAAAGAAACCTCACATACCGACATACATATACTTAATAAGTATAGGAAACGGGTTGGGAGCCGAAAGGTGCGCCGACATATTGGGTCATGCAGGTCCGAGTTTAGAAGTAGCATTGAGTGGAGTAGATGCAATTCTTGAGTTGTGGTTGCGCCTGATGTGTACGTCCCTTGCTACCGGGGTCAAAAAGTCAATGTTCACCCCTGAACCGAACTCCGCGAGGATTTGGTAGGCCTTATAGGGCCAGGTGCAACACAATCGAAAAAAATATTTAAAGAATTATTTTGGAAGCAACGCTGCGACAGACTGTCTAGTTTATATATATTTACGTGAATACTCCGAGCCCACAAAGTTTCAATTATATATTGAAATGTTTGGCCGTTTTGTTTTGACTGGTGCAACAAGATTCGCCAGGGCACAAATTAATTCATTTCAAACGCCACCCCCGAAAAACATGCCCCCAGGAGATGCATTAGAAACTTGACAATTATCCTCAACTCAATTTATCCAAAGTAATATTCCAGCCAAGTTTCAGCTTTCCATTTCTCTCCGTTTGGCTGAAGCAAATATATATTTTTGAAAACATCTCCCCCCAAAATGTGTTCTCCCAGTCCCAAAGTCAGATTTTTTCTGAACTCTGCATCCCAATAGGTTCTTATTTACCTAGTTTCAGATTTCTAACTTCTCTGGAACATGGTTAGAATTAGCGTCAGTCACTCAGGAAAAATTATATGCATCTTACCCTGAAAATCGCGATGGAAGTCCTCCGTTAGGAGTCCTCCAGCAAGATTTACCACTATGACTTCCCTACCATCTTCTGTTGCAAGTCGCTTTGCTTTTTCCTTCAGGATCAGGGTCTTTCCCGTGCCTGACCCTCCTACCATAAGGAGGAGGGGTGAAGCTGATCCTTCGTAAACGAGTTTCTTCTGCTCTGGAGTCAAAATGCACAGTGTTTTCTCCATTTGGGCGTCGCTGGCTCTGAAATACTCTCTATGAGTCCGTGGAACGTCGACGGAAGATGATGCGCAAATGTAGAGAGAAAAAATATCATAGAAATGTTTTTCGGCAATAGAACTGCATTCTCCAGTTGAAGGCAAATTCGTCACACCGTTTTTCTGAAGAAACCTCTGCAGATCATATGGCCGCTGAAGATCGTCACTTGTTAAGATCTTCCATGGGCAGAATTCACACTTGAGAAATTTCTGCAATTCTCTTCTTTCAATGAAAGGGAATGTTGGAAATCCAAGAATTACTGCATTAGATCTTATAAAAGGTCCGCACATGGTCTTCAATACTAGGCTGTCCTTTTCGCACTGGTTCATCGCCTCCGTGATCCTCTTGTAAATGTTTCTCGGACTAACATCCAGAGAAGTTTTCTTTATTTGGAAGAATACGTTATAGACCGTGTCTCCACTGGGGTAGGACAGGTAAACGTCATGATCTCCAGTCTCCAGCTTAGGAATATGACGTTCTTTTCTCAATTTTTTTTGCTGTTGCTTTGGTAGTTCAGAAATGGCTCTGTTGAAGGTCCTCGAGAATTCGTAATCGGCAACCACCAAAGATGGAGCTGAACCACATATGTCCTTCGCCCGGTTGACCACGGCAGCGACAGCTGCATAATCGGGTTTATGCTCAAAAACATCCACGTCCTTCCCCTGGGGATTCTCTAGCTCCTTCCTTGCCAGGCGAAGCAGATCTTGGAAATCACTATTTTTTAGTATGTAGCCAGAGGGAAGAGAATAGTGAATTTTCCCAGCCTCGGGATAGTGTTGCCGAAGATATTCAATGGCCGCCTCTTCGAACGGCAAAGTAACCCCGCCTCCAATGTATACCTGAAACACACGCAAAACGTCAAATACTGACACTTTGAGGATTTAGTGTTCTAGCTTAGTCTCAAATCACTAATCACTAACTCTAAAGAGCTTAATCTCTAATCACTGAGTTAAATGAGACTTCGTTCACAAGAACGACAAGATAATCATTAATATTATATGTAATCACGAACACGATGAACCTATGCATGAGAAAAGGGGTTTCGCTTAACCAGTGACTCCATATGAAAAAATGTTGGCTCGTTCGCACACAGGCAATTATTTTCAGATTGTCCTAGTTTCATTTCTCTCAGTTCAACCTGAAAGCCAACGTGATGAGTAGAGTTGAGTTTTCAATAATATTTAATGGCCTAAAACGCTAACAAATTAGGGGAATTAAGCGATTACGTTGAAATGACCAAAATACACTATACTGTAAAATACATTTTTTGTAACAATTCCAAGACAATTCACTCAACCATGTCGGGCTAAGCTACTATGATATAAATTAGCGCTTTTGAACCGCCTGCTTAGATGGAGCTTAAGGACGTTAGGACTATCAAACGAGTGAAAGGATTGCAGAAAGCTTTGCAGAACATCTCCCTGCTTGCAGGGGAAACAGGATACGAAAAAAAAATCAATTTTCACTCCTTGTCTTGCGCAAGCAAATGAGCAGGACGGACCTGGAGGTAGTCTCGAACATCGAAACCTTCTTCGCATGGCAAGCATTCCGTAGGGGAAGCGATTTCAGCAAGTTTGCTCCTGCAGAATTGGCACTTCCCTCTATCCTGAATAATAGCACAAGGTAGAAAAGCATGACTCCAAGTAGACATTGTCGGAGTAAATGTCACGGATGCTCGTTCTCGTAGATGAAGTAATCCGCTTGCATCGGTCCGTTTTGCATTATCAAATATGAATTTCTATGAAGGTGACTTAAACGCTGCGATATGAGCTACACTTAGTCACCTGCAGGGATAGGGCATCGTGTGTTTGAGGCCTAAGAAACTCAAGTAAAATGTATATAATATTTTTTGGGGGGCGGTGACGGGCAATACGGAACACAGCGACATTGAATATGTTAAAAACGGTACCGGGACTGAAGGGACATGTGAGGCTCAGATTCCCGCCATAGAAGTATTCGCTATACCTTACGTTGTCTTTTCTTGAAAGTGTCCCAAACCTGAATCCTTTCGTACCTGGCGGGACTCAAGGGTCCCGTAGCTTTCATCCAAATGTTGCACGTCTGTGTGGCAATGCCTTATGTGCGATCGTCACTGGACTCTTTTGTCTCAATGTCAAGTAAGTCACCACACTGGCAACAAATGACAGATAAATATGTTGAAAATGAACAAAGATAATCCTCAAAAGTATGATGCAAGGAACACCAAATTACTTTTTCATCAAATTTAGCCTGAAAGGGTTAAAAGGTCACACATGGAGGAGGTCAATCCTTTTTAAACGCCTTTTCATTCCGATTCCTACCGCTGGCGTCACAGCCAGAGGGGCGGGAAATGTAGAATCTTCTCTCGTGAAACGAAAAAAAAGTTACTCCGCTACCCTTCATGCTTCACGGATTTGGTACGAAAGCGAAAAATTTCCTCTTTTTTCAAATGGATGTTTTATTTTAACCGATGGTAGAAGACTCGAATACTTTCTCGCTCCGTTGTAGATCCAATCGGTTAACATACGAAATACTGCAAAGCCATGTACATTTGACGTGCACACGAAAAGGAATTATTACAAAGGGACTGACCATGTAAACGGTAAGGGGTCCCAGAGTCTTCGTCATGTTTTATCGATTCACATTTCCAACGGGTGATTACGTCGTCAACGCTCCCTCTCCTTATCGAAACCTGAGTGCGGGAAGGCCGGTTAAGTTGCATGTTACGTTTCGCCGGAAGATAAGAGAAGTAATGTGATCACTTATTACTTTTGTATGCGATTGGGAGGATATTATGGAACTCAAGGAAACGCACTCGCTCCTTCATTCTGTGAAAACAGTTTCATATTCGATGAGGTATTACCAAGAACATTGCAGAGGGACGCAATTCGCTCAAGACGAAAGGTAACCGGCGAGATATGCAACCCTAGGACAAGTCAAATTCTCCGAGTCACAGCCGACACCGTTTGTGATCTCACAATTAATGTTCCAACGCACAGGAGTGAAAAACCGATCCAGGAGCTGAAGAGGAATCAACTTGATATGCCCTCAATTCACCATCGGAAGACGCGATGAATGAGGGAGAGAGACGGGCAGGACATGCGGCATGACCTCCAATGCAGAACTGATATCTTCACTCCGTATTGCGGCTGGTATAATAACCCCTGGCGCCTGGTGATTGCACCAGGCGCCAGCTATTTAAGATCAGCTACCGTATCTTTGATGGGAAGATGAGATGATGCATTCATCCGCACTTAGTGCATCGTCTTTCCAAACCTGTGGGAAAAAAATGGCACGAGCCAGTCATGGTCTAGAAGCTTCTTCCTCACGTTATAAAATGGCAAGTGAAAAGTACGCGTTTTTACATCACTGTGGGTGGACCATGAATATTCACACCACGTCGAAATATTATATTTCCTGTACTAATAACTTTTCATGGAATCAATTGAATCTCAACAAGACGGAAGGGTTCACAGTAACTTTCCACAATTGGTTGATGATTCCCTGTTCCTCTTGACGAACAGAGAAAATTTTAAAAGGTGTGTGCAGAAAAAACCCCGAAATATGTTCCCTGAGGGATGTACTACAACATTTGAATCAACATCATATCAGTTATGGGTGCATCAAGTTTCATCTCCCCGTTTTTTGCTGGATTAGTCAGGTAATGAGTCAATAATGTAGAGGCAAGTAAACCTTCTGCAAACCGCAGGAAACAAAGTGCTCATCTATCATGGAAGTAATCACTAAGATCTACAGAGACTACAGGCAAAGTCGCACCCAAACAAGTTCAATCAGCGTTTCATTGAACCTAGCGCTCCATTGACGTCTTAGAGATAGTTCTATTGTCTGGTTAAATGTCCAAAACTCAAAGCGATGAAAAACAGTTCAAATTATGCGTTCCCTGAACTCCATGAATTTATCAATAGATAAATTCATGCGTGGTTGAATAGATTTGTTTGCTTTAGGATTCATCCAACATGCAAATAAATACTTGGATGCGCTCTTTTCATCAATTAAGCAGCATTTAATACAAGTACAGTCCTGCTACCGTGGCTAGCGTTAGAAGCCTTGAATTAGTCGATTAGTTCGGTTGAAGGTGGTACATTCAATTATCAGGGATAGCCTAGTAGAGAAACATGGAGCAATTTAGCCATACTGAAACAATCATCATAAATAGTAATTTTATATTCCATAGTCAGACAACCCAACCACTGAATTACCTTTCCAAAGGGGAGATGATGAGCAGTTTAGTTAATTTTTCATTCTCTTCACAAGACGTCATCTTGAAACCTCCTCCCTCTATCTTTCGAGCCAGAGTTATCTATAGACTCCTTGGACAGGGTTACCTGTAAAGACCGATTTGTTCAAGAATTTAAGTACCTCGTATTTTCTTCCTTGTTTATGTGGAGAGAGATCCGTTACTTTGTGGAAGGTACAGTGAGGGACAAAACTGTGTCAACGTTCCACATCGTTCCAATTGATGACCCATAACTCAAGTATTACGTGTTTAATTTAATTTAAATTTCAGCCAATCATACTCCTACTTCCTGGTTTTCGATTGGTACTAGTCCCGTGTGAATTGACTTCCTATTGGTTGAGCTACAGCTGTCTGGTTGACAACTTGGCCATTAGCACAGTTTTGTCCCTCACACACAGGTCTACAGAAAAACGATGTTCTTAATATTTTGTGAATTTTCCTTAGGCCTTTAAACACTGTCTGGACACTTTTAGGCACGCTCTTGATGAAGTCAAAGCAAGTTTGAACCGATATGGCGCCCCACTCGGTAATGACCCGCTGCCACAACTACTTGATGCTGGCTGGCTCCACGTGGGGTACGAGAAGGAGCCTCCGCTTCAAGTGTTGCCATAAGTGTTCGATTGAGTTGAGGTCAAGCGACTGTGCTGACCATTATAGGACCTCGATTCCGCGGTCTTGGATTAATTAGCGAGTCAGCCGCGAGGAGTGTTTCGTATCATTCTCCTGCTTAAGCATCACCTCTCCTGCTTCGAGGAGATAATTCTCCATTGTCAGGAGCAATTCCATGTGATGTGATGTGAATATGTTCATGCACTACAGAGAACCACCTCTATCGATTTATCAGAGAACATTTTAAGATTTCCATGTTGAAGGCGTATCAGGGAAGCATTCATGCACGAGCGTACAGGAGGGAGGAGAGGGGTGGGGGGCAGTCGGAAACGAGAGACATGACGAGTGAGCGGGGAGAGAAAAGTTGGTGTTTCGGGCATAGATACACTCGAGAGACCCATTGTTGTCGACATGGGAAAAAATATTTCATGATTTTGCTCCAGAGACATCTGATTGGCTGCGCCAATGAAAGTCAGGTCAGGTAGAGGTGGGCGAGAATAGCCTACATTGAACGCTTGTCTCGAATGAACTTTCTGGGAAAACCAGAGCATAGATCGTGAACATCACGTTGTCAATGCACTCTAGGAAACCACCTTTATCGATCTATCAGAAAACATTTTAAGATTTCCACGTTGAAGGCGTTTCAGGGAAGCATTCATACTCGAGCGTACGAGAGGGAGGAGAGGGGTGGGGGGCAGTCGGAAACGAGAGGCATCACGAGTGAGCGGAGAGAGAAAAGTTGGTGCTTCGGTCACAGATACACTAGGGAGAGCCTTTGCTGTCGACATAGCAAAAATATTTCATGATTTTGCCCCAGAGATACCTGATCGTCAGCGCCGATGAAAGCTAGCTAAGATGGAGCCGGGCTGTGGAAGTCTTTCAGGGATCGCTCGGCTTGAATAAACTTTCCGATGGAACCTTCGCACTGATCGCGAACGTGAATGCGTCCATGCATTCCAGTGAACCCCTTCCATCGATCCATCAGAGAAAATTTCAAGGTTTCCATTTTGAAGGCGGATCAGGGAGGCATTCACACGCGAGCGTACGGGAGGGAGAGAGAAGTGGGATACAGCCGAAAACAAGAGGCATCACGAGTGAGCGGGGGGAGAAAAGTTGGTGCTTCGGTCACAGATACACTAGGGAGAGCCTTTGCTGTCGATGTGTAAAAAAATATTTCATGATTTTGCCCCCGAGATACCTGATCGGCCGCGCCGATGAAAGCCTAGCTCCGGTGGAGGCGGTCGGTGGGTATCCTGCCGAAAACGCTTGGCTTGAATGAAATTTCCGAAGAAACCAGAGCCTAGATAACAAAGATGAATGCATCCACGCACTCCAAGCACTCATATCTATCGATCTATCAGAGAAAATGTCACGAGTTACGTCTGAAATGCTATTTCGGACGTTTTTCGACGCCTTTGTTGAATGTGGGGCGAAATATCATTTTGGTTTGAATGAACTTTCTGAGCGAACCAACCATCGCAAAGGGACGAGCCAAGTCTCACTGTCATCCAGAGAGTCTTTTCTATCGATCTATCAGAGAAGATTTTGTGATTTTTGCTTTTGAGGAGCCAGGGCTCGCATTCTGTGGCAAGCGCGTAAACGTTTGCGGAGACGAGGGGGGGCGATTTTTATTTTCGTCAGAAACGTAATTTATTTCGCGAGAGTCCGGGTAGACATCATGGTGATTTTTGCATGGACTCCTTCCGAAGATTCATAGATATATCGATCTATCAATAAATCTGCCGTGATTTTTCACCCACATGTGCCTGGCGACGCATTCTGGTGATGGTATTGTCAAGGGCCAGTGGGGGGCGATTTTTCTTTTAAAAATGCACAACTTTGAATAAACTTTCGGAAGGAACCCTTGCAGGTATAAACACGATTCTGGCGTCTCTGCAATCTAGAGACTCTTCCCTATCGATCTATCAGAGAACATTTCCCGATTTTTGCCTTGAAGCCGAGAAAAACGGAAAAAACCACTCGGAGTAGCGTTTTTTGCCCCAATTTCAAGCACATTTCGGTACTTTTCTC